TATATACTGTATATGTATATATACTGTATGTATTGTTTTATAAATGGCAAAAATCTCAGCTTGAAGTAGATTTGCTTGGTTGTTTGCAGAGCTTCAAACAACTGTAACCAAGCTAATGTTAGCTAGCCCTAGCTTACCTTCTTACATCGTCTTGCGCTCTTGCCTTTGGCATTATGTTGCTGTATGGACTCATACACTCTCGTGTACCTTTCTAATGGATTTCTTCTAGCTGTACTCAAACTTCCTGTGTCTCTGTTTTAAGTTGTTTTGATAAGAGAAAAAAGGATGAAAAAAAGGATGATCTCCATGTTTTCCGATGTTTGGTGTTGCAGTAGCCTTTCTGTCTCTTATGTTAGCTGTGGACGTGGTTGGAGGAGCTTCAGAAGGAACTGCTGGACGACGTGTACGCTGAGTCTGTGGAAGCCGTGCAGGACCTGATCAAGCGTTTCGGCCAGCAGCAGCAGACCACCCTGCAGGCAACGGTCAACGTTATCAAGGAGGGAGAGGACCTCATACAGCAGCTCAGGTGACCTCTTTGACTACACACAGCTGGAATGGAATCATTCGTACTTAACAAATGTACTTGGCACCTGCCCAAATAATCTGTGTCTGTCAGGTCCAACTCCAAGTCACTTCCTAGTTTCCCGTTACGTGATGAAAATGCTACAGCTACAAAAAATGACGAGAGAGAACTTTTATTGCTACTTGCCACTGAGCAGATTTTAATAAAACAGAAATCAGGTATCAAATGTTCCTCTACACCAGGGTGATTCAACTGGCAGCCCGAGGGCCGCATCCGGCCCGCGAGTGACCAAAGTTCGGCCCACCAACTGGTTCAATCATCTCTTAAATCCAAACCCCCAGGTTTCCACTTTAACTCCGATAAGTTCTTTTACTTAAACAAAGACATGTTTGGTATCTACAAAACATCAGAATCTTGGCTACACGCTGGTAAAATACATTTCTATGAACATCCAAGACAGTTAAAATTACAAGCAGTTGAAGATAAAACTATGAAAATGAAAATAAAATTGGTTTAGAAAATTTGGGTTATATTTGTTAAATAGTGTGTTATTTTTGTTTTTGATACTGTTTTATTATCGCTACTGTTATTACATAGGGTTCTGTCTGTTGTTTTCATGAGCAAATGCAGTAAAATAAACCATGTCAAAGGTAACAGATCTTTGTAATACTTGGTTTATTTACAGAATGACCTTAATTGCTAGATGTTCGGCCCCTGAGCTGTTGGCCTGCAGTAACTGTGGCCCCCGGAGCAATTTAGTTGAATAGCCCTGCTCTACACTTTTCGAGTCAACCCAGTTCAAGATAGTTGCCACAACTTATCGACCTTAGCCAGCAAAGCAAATACATAAGTTGTCAGTTTAACTGATTTTGAGCTAAAATTTATAGGGTTGTAGGAAAAATATGCGTTTTTCAAACTGGTATGTCCGAATAAACGGGAATCCACTGGATTTCTTCTTTAAAATTTTATTTTCAATCTTCTGACTCCAATCAGGTTCACAGTGCAGCACACAGGCCTCAGTAAGACCTTGGACTGAACCAAAGCACAACACAGGAGCTCTGCTCTGAGCAGACTCTGCAACACACTGACAACTTCTCTCTACTATAATAATGCATTGAGCTTATAATGTTCATCTCTTACTGGTTACATCCCAGGAGGTGTTACCCTTTACGTCAGACGTCAGAACGTAACTCATTTTGTTTAGACTAAAGAAAGAACACATGATAAGACAAACACCAACTCTTTGTCTGCTTTAACTTTACAGACTGAAATGATCAGAAAGTATAACATACAATACTGCATCTAACCTTCAATCTTTTCTTGTTTTTTTTTTTCTTTCCACAAATGTCAGAAAAATTAGTGGTCAGACTTCCGACCCTACGTGCACTAACCAGTTCTTTTTGACCTTTGTTAACAGAGACTCAGCTATCTCAAGCAACAAGACCCCTCACAACAGCTCCATGGCCCACATTGAGAGCGTGCTGCAGCAGCTGGACGAGGCCCAGGGTCAGATGGAGGAGCTGTTCCAGGAAAGGAAGATCAAACTGGAGCTCTTCCTCCAGCTCCGTATCTTTGAGAGGGATGCAATAGATGTGAGTAAGAGAATACAGAAGCGGTGTGTGTTTGTATCAACAAATAGTTGTTGTTGTTTTTTTCAGGTTCAGGCATACATGTGTTGCATGTACTTTCACATGTGAACACCCGTTTTTCTAAATTCAATTGATTTTTTTCAACTCATATGATTTTACAGTTCTTCCGTTTATTATTCTGCAGCTGTTTGAAGTTGTGTAAAGCGGGTCAGTTACACGTTGTAAGGTGCACACGGGTGAATCAAAGAGAGTCTGAGCTAACGGACCATTTGCCATAAAAAAAGGAAAGAGATTTAGTCCTGAAGGGAGGACCCCTGCTGGTTCAAAGCTTGGCTGAATTCACAGCAATGCTCTCACATTCGCTACACGTTTAGTTCCACTTGATGCATCACATCCCCTTACTCATTCCACTTTTTCTCCCCTCGCTATCCAAACGTCTGCTGTGTTGTGTCAGCTTTTTCTTTTTCTTCAGCATCCCACCGTGAGAGGGAATCTTCACACTCTTCATTCAATTAGCATTTAGAGTCAACCTGTGCAAAATGTCTCCCGCTATAAATCCAGCTGTTCTGTGAAGAGAATGTTAGTGATCAAACAGCATCAAGAAGACCAAGGAACATGACAACCAGGTCAGAGATGCTCTCTAGCCAGTCTAACTGAGCTTTAGCTATTTTGCCAAAAAAAAAATAAAAAATAAAAGAGAGAATGGGCAAAAACATTCTAGATAAAAATTATAAAAACAGGTAAATTTACACCGCTATACAGCCCCGATGTATTTTCTCTAAACAGATTTGTGCTAAACGTTCCTTTAAGATCGTAGATGAGAGATTTCATAAATATCTAAACTATAAATGTGCTTTTTGAGCTCGCTCAATTTGCATAACTACAATGGCATTTTCATAGCAACCTCATCGTTTACACAGTTGACCTGTGACCCAGAAGAGTTAGGCTATGTGCATGCACATTTGTGACAAATTTCTAACTATGACACGGCCTGTTGGTCCGTGGCAGAGGTCTTGAACAATGGGGTTGCAGAGCAGTGGTGGGCGGATGGACGGAACCGCTAACCCACTAATAGCGGAACAAACGTTTTGCTGAGCAGTTAAAGATTTGCATTTATTTTACAAACTAGTAACAAATTTAACTCGTGCTAAAATAATATTTAGTTATTTTCTTTGCCACTAAAATATCCTATGAAATACATTGTCACGTTCTTGATAAACCCAACAATGTGGAATTTCACACACAGCAGCGACAGGCGAGCTACATCAAGCAGTCGCCAGGAGTCACACGGTGACATCATTCCCAAGTCAAGGTCATTTATTTCTGCGTTCGGTCTCCTTTGCATCTCCTAATTTTGTTGCAAAATAAAAGTGAAACAAAGACGCACGTCTTTGTTTTATATAGGGGTATACAAATATTTGTTTTTTTAGCATGAATAATGTTTAAATATATAAACTAAATTAGCAGGTTTAGATGTTAGTGAAGCTTTTGGTTAGCTGTGTCCACCACTGTCGCAGAGGTACTGCAGGAGGCCATGATTTTTATTAGTTTTTAATACTTCAGGGTTTTTTATGTTGTTTTCAAACTCATGTCTTTAAACACACTTTACCATGAATCCAACATTTAGAAATGAATTTCAGTCAGAAATGCAGACATTCAGCGAGCACACCAGCTGATTTTTTCCTTCACTCACAGCCTGACACTTGATGTATTCTGCACACTTAGAAAAGGACGCAACCCTATCCATACTGGGCTGGTCATGTGGCCCTGCTGGCGTGTTCGCTCTGTCAGGTTTACAGTAATTGTCTGTGAGTCAATTAGTGCTGTGATTTTTGTAATATTTCTACAAAACTGCAGCTCCTAGTGATAACAGTCTACAACAAATGTCAGTATACACTAATATACAGGTAGAAATTTACAAAACGGTACAAATTGATCTCGGATGTGTGCTCAGAGAGGTCGGTCGTGTCGGTTTCTTTCAAGAAGACGTACTAGCTCTGCATGTCGGGCCAGGGAACATGGATAGTTCTGAAGTACACCCACAGACACGCACACACTGGATTAGTATGACACAGTGCTCGAGCATGAAGCTGGGCGGAGGACGGATTTGATCCCCTCCATTCCTGACTCCCACACACACTCAGGTGGATTTGCAATACAACTCCTCCTCCTTGTCTTACTGGAAGTGTGTGTGTGTGTGTGTGTGTGTGTGTGTGTGTGTGTGTGTGTGTGTGTGTG